TCTCTGAGGAACATAAACCTTAGAGGCTGAATCAGAAATCCTTGGGATCTCAAGTATGCTGAAGAGTAGGCTTGATTTACAAACGACTATATGGTAACCTTTCATTATTTTCAACTTGTCATTCATTTTGATGGTTGGCTTGTTGATGTTTGGTTACCTGTTTACCAAGCATATTCTCCTGTATCAATTCAGATAGCAACATTAGATGCTTTAGGACCATTGATTACTTATGAACTTCCTTTGATCATCTCCAAGGAACTATTGTATTTAGTGTTACATAATTCGCGATTCGCTTTGATTCGCGGATGGGTACGTAATCACAATTCGTTAGTTTCACAGTTGGAGATGACAATTTTAATGAGAGAAATATTCTTTTGTTTTGGGTTAGAATGTCTTTTAGGAATTGGTTTAGAATGTTAAATGTAGTTCATTTATTAACAACTTCAGGATATTTTCTCTATTTTTATCAAATAGATAATTTATAATTACTTTCTTAAAGTTACAAGATAATACAACTCGGAAATTCATTGTTCTTTAGCAATTAGTAAATTAATTCACTTTTAGGTAAATGTAGATAATTTATTTATTTCTTTTAAAAATGGGATGTGCATTGTATTAAAATCATGGGTACAAAGCACGACACATCAAATGCTTCGTAAAAAAAACCTCCCTAAACCTAAGTGGAGGAAAAAAAGCGCACTTTTGTGTGAAACAACGAATATAATTAATGTTTGTTCTTTACGCAATGCAATTGAAAGCAAAACTGTAAAAACAATCTAGCCACCTCACACAAAACATCAAATTAAATGTTATCAAATTAATGATTATCAATAACTTCATATTACTTTACTCTAATTTTATCAAGTTAAATTTTGAATAAATAAATCATAATTAATTTTTTTGGAAGTTACAAGATAATGAAACTTGGAAATTTATTGTTCATTAACTATTAGTGAGTTAATTATTTTTGGGGTAAAATATACAAATAGTTATTAAATTACGTTGAGATGATCTTTTTGGTGCTTGAATTTGAAAGTTAAAATTATTATCAAACTATTACAAAATGGTCCTATAATTTTCTGAAATTTATTACTAATTTTATAATATGCAGTGACCATTTCGTAATAGTTTGATAAACTTAATAATTATTTTATAATTTCTAAAATTTCAAATGGCTAAAAGAATCATTTTAGAATAGTTTAGTAATAATTTGTGTATTTTAGTCTTACTCTTCACCAATGCTATAGTTCTATTCAGATTTCAGTTTTTTTAATCAATGGTGTAATTATACTTTTGGTCATTCCTAATTTAATCTCAATTCAAAAATCTCTATTTAAATGCTAATTGGATTCAATTATCTCCCGATTAGTATCGTCTTTTGCCTAATGAATTCAACCATGCTCTCAATTTGATCCTTAATCAGTTTGTAACGTATAATTGTCATTTGATGCTAAATAAAAGTGATCGATAATATTGGCAAGAAAGCAATTAAGTCATTAATTGTCATTTGGCACTAAATATATTTAGATTAAGTCGTTATTTGTTAAAGAATAATAAATTTTCAAGTTACAAGTATGAATCGAATTTATTATCAGAACTGATTACATTGAACATTTTAAATTGAAACATAAAATACCAGTATAAATACAAATTAAGATTATGTACATTATGAATTATCTCTTTTAGTTGAAGAAAAGATGACAAAAATTTTGAATTATATTATCATCCATTCTCTTTTTCTTTGTTTCACCTCTTTGAGTTTAGCACATACTGTTAGAGTCCCGCCATTTAAAATAAATAAAGAGTCCATTTTGAAAACTTTATCATTAGAAAACATCGAAATTGATTTACCAGCTTTATATGTGTTTGGCGACTCTTTTGTTGATACAGGAAACAATGAATATTTTAATATACAATTTCATAGAAATTATACTCCATATGGAATAGATTTTGGTGGGAAATCCACCGGCCGTTACACAAATGGCAGGACATTCATAGATTTCATTGGTAACCAATAATATACTTGTATGCAATTAGTCAACAATTTAATTAACATTTTACTAATGAAATTAATTATGCAGCTCAAATTGTTGGCTTGCCGTTTCCTCCTCCAGTGCAAAGTTTTTTCAAGGGAAAGAAGAATACTCCTCAAACTGGTCTAAATTATGCTTGTGGTTTCACTGGCCTCCTTGAATTATCAACACCACCTCCCGTAAGTTTCTAAACATATTCTTCTTTCGTGTATGTTAATATTTTTTGGTTACGTTGTACAATGATCCAACATGTTCTTTTTACATGCAACATAAAAAGTTAATTGATTTATACAATTTCATCAGAGCTTGGTTGGACAAGTAAAATGGTTCGAAAAAACATCAAGAAAATTGAGAAGGCAATTTGAAAGCAAAGAGAGTTTTTCAACGTACTTGTCAAAATCATTGTTTTTTATTAATAGCGGTTCATATGACTTGGGTCCCGGGTGGCTCGGATGGGGCCATTTATATGATGCAGACTCTGCTACAAAACTTCAAATAGAAAATTTATCCACGTATTTAAAGGTAATTAAATTAGCTATTATCCATGGAGGGCATTTCATGATTTGGAGGTCTTCTACGGAAGCTTCTCTCAACCTAGTGTTGGGGGCAGCCTACTATCTTACCTCCCCCTTACCCCATTACATATGGGAACAAGGGACATCCATTTTTATTTTTAAATTAGCTATTATAGATAAAAAATAACTGTCAAGTATCTAAAATTAAGATGGCTAAATAACCTATTTTTCTTCCCAAATGTAGACATTATATCGACTCGGTGCACATAAATTTGTGATCAATAATTTAGCTCCAATAGGATGCGAACCAGATCAAATTTTTGGTGGTAAATGTTGGGAAGAAGCTAATGATAGGGCATTGTTATTTAACAAGCGCCTGTCTAATCTATTGAGAGACTTGCAATCAACACTTTCAAGATCAAAATTTGTTCTCATAGATTTATATAAGATTTTCAAAGATGTTTATGCATCGCCTACATCCTATGGTGAGTATTATTCTATATACTGACTCAAACCTTTGACCTTGCAAAATCAAAATTAAATATTTATCAATTTCTTAACCATTGATTTTTTTACAGGATTTACAGAGGTGAAAGGAACTTGTTGTAGTAAATTAATGGACAGTTGGACAAAAGGATGCCTCCCAAATGTAGCGCCGTGCAAAGATAGAAATAAATATGTTTTTTTCGATGCATTTAACCCGACCGAGAGTATACATTTTATATGGGCAAGACGTATGTTAAATGATTCATCGGTCACTTATCCTATCAGCTTGATTCAATTAATACAATCATAAACTAAAAGATATGTTCCATGTTTTCCTAATAAAATATATAACTAATAATAATTCTGTTGTATGATTTGGTCCTTCTCGTTCTTTATCCATCATGATGTTTCTCATATTTCAAAACATCTACGGTAATCAATGATAGTAAAGCAATGGCAAATGGTGTATTTACAACTTCTCTCGTCTTTCTGAAGCAGAGGGTCGCGTACATATAATGCTGCAAAAAGCTCCACAAACATAATCTATATCAGAACCTAAAATAAATTGGGCAATTTGTGTGGTCGTGCTACATCAAGTTTTACCTGAGTTACTAACAATCTGCAAAACACGTTTTTTTTACTACAAAACGTATAAGAAAATTAAAAACATGTTTACATAACTGAAGTGGTGCACCAACTCTGGAATTGAACCAACCACTTATTTCTGTCAAAGCTGTCTACTCTTACTGTAATTTCCAAAAATCGGGATAAAAGGATTTATTAGGTTTAAACTGGATTTTAATAGATTAATTCTGAAATTTGGATTAAACTGAAAATTTTGTAAAGTTTTTGAGGTCAAATCATAACATTTAGAATTCTTTTGCCATTTTTGTAAAACCTTAGACTGTTCAAGGTTATGCACCATTAACCTTGGAACAGAAATCCTTTGCTTCCTTTGTGTGCCCTTTTTTGTATCCCATCACTGATAATTTTACACGTGTATTTCTATTTTTCACGGCAACACCCGTACTTCATCTTCCCTAACTAACATTTTCTGTTAAGCTTGAAAACACTGCACAGAAATCCCTACTAGTAAGTATGATTGTGGATGTCATCAAACAACAACTTACGACAGAATTTTGAATTTACTTGTAACCATCAAAAGATTCAAATAAAGTGTTACATTTACTTGTTTTGACCATTGTAACCATCTAGATGTAATTACGAGGTTTTACCATGTTCTGTGTGCTCTTTTATTTTATCTTGACTCGAAATATATATATTTTTGAGTTGAGTTGAAATGAATTTTATTTATTATTTATTATAAAATTAATAAAATATTAAAATTTAAAAAATCTCATAAGATATTATATCGCCTAAGAAATTGGGGGTAATGATACTATGATAATAATTTTATATGAACTCGATGGGTTGTGATTCGACCCAATTTTAGAAGATCATTTTATTTTTGAAATTTAAGTTTGAATTGAGTCAAGTTTGGAAAATATGAATATTTGGTGATTATTTTGTAACTATTAATAGTCGAGGGATTCAACAAAACAACATCCTATAATCAAAGGATCTTTTTTAACTTTTAATAGTTGGGATACTCAATAAAATAATATCCTATAACCGAGGGACCATTTATGTACTTTACCCAATAAGTTTTAGTGTTAACAGTTTCATGTTACCTTGATCATTATCAGATATTGTTGACAATGAAACGAATTAATGTAAAGATTACTAGAATTAAATGCAATCTAATGTGTAATTGATGACTTTCATTAGAGCTTTATGACCTATTGATTAAGATACAGATTCCCAATCATTGTCCTGTCAATTGTCAATCTGGTCTTTCCCTACCCTACCCTGCCAAGAAGGCTCTTCACATGTCTTTGTTTTTAGTGATTAGGAAAAGAAAACATTTTCAACTCCTCGCTTTCTTTACAGTTGGTCTGGTACAAGCTCTTCTAGCATCCTCTTTCACGGCTCAGGCTCAAGCTCAACCCTCAAATCCCGTCTCTCGGATCACAGTAGTGGGATTTGTTTTCTGTGATACCTGTTCAAGCAACACTTTATCTAGGCACAGATACTTCTTGCCAGGTATAGGACTGGTTTATTTCATAAACGAACACCCACACACACATATATATTTGTATATTTTGAATTGTCTTTGTTTTCTTACAGGTGTTGAAGTCAACATTGAGTGCAAGTTTAAAGCAAGATCAAAAACAGCATAGCAAATGAGCGTCTCTGTCAACAGAACTACAGATAAATGTGGAGTTTACAAGGTGGAAATGCCGGACGTTGATGGGGTTGACTGTGTGGAAGGTTTGGCCGTTGAATCATTATGCGAGGCAAGTTTAATAGGGAGCAAATCTAAAGCATGCAATGTACCGGGTTTGAAGACTTGTACGAACCAGATATCTGTCAAATCAAAACAAGACAATCTCTGCATCTACAGCTTGAATGCACTGAGTTACAGGCCATCCAAGAGAAATGCCACCTTCTGTAGAAATCTCAAATAGCTATCACCAACTTCTTTTTAACTCTTCAGTAACCCAAACAAATGAAACAGTTGAGCTCTCAAAACTGATCAATCTCTCTACCTGTTAAGTTTATTTTTATATCTTTAAATTATTTTTTGATTGACATATAAGATAAATAGTGAAATGTGATTGATCACATTACATGCCAAAACGATTAAAATTTTAATATTTTAGTTAGCATTTTTTTGTTAAAAAAGATTAAATTTTTAAATATTGACATTAAATTCAGCTCAAAATAAGAATAAGGGGTAAACCGATAAAACAAGTAAATTTTTAAGTGTTAAATTTATAATTACGTCGTCAAATAAATTTAACAACTCAAATATCTTTGGTTAAAATACACTCTAAGCCCTTATCTTTTCATTCATTTGGAATTTAGTGTCTATTTTTATTTTCAAGAATTTAGTCATTTACTTTTCAGATTTAAAAATTGAAGTCCTAATATTATTATTCTTGGAATTCCATTGTTAAATTCAACTCTCTCTCAATGACATTTTCTATTACATGAATGTCAATTTAATATTTTAATTTCAAAATGTTACATCAATGAATTCAGAAGAAAGTTTGGCGGTTAGACTTGAATTTTTAAATAGGAAAGTTTAAGGGATTAATTTTTTAGAAATGGTAGTAGAAAGATAAATTTCAAACGTATAATGAGTGTTACGTAGGGGCTTGAAGTATATTTTAACCAATGGTCTTTAACATACATGAGTAAATATTTTTTTAAACATTAATTAATTAATTAAGGGATAAACTACACTATATACCATTAAAAATTATCAATTGCATTGTTATACCACTAAACTTTCAATTTTATCAATTATATAACTAAATTTTAGTTGTTGTTTCAATTATATCACTAGATCATTAACTCGATTACAATGCAATGATGTGGATGACGATGACCGACGAGGACACACATCAAAATGATGTGGTTGTTTTGATACTCAAAATAATGTTATTTTGTTGGAAAAAATCAAAGTTATATTGCTGTTCATGAAGATTAAGTCTAACCAATCAGTTAATTAGCCAACTTAATTTTTAGAAATCATAAATTTAAATAGTTGTATTTGTATGATATGTGTTGTTAATAATTTTAAAAAATTGAACAAATATTAGTGTAATTTAGCCTTAAATAGATTATACAAAAATCTAAGAAGCCCAAGAATAAGCATAAGCATAAGCAAAGCATAGAGTTCATTCTAGTATAAAACAAAAAGCAAATGCAGTTGTACCAAGGAAAGAATCTAAAATCTTTGAAGACACCGTGAATGCCCTCTTCTTACTCACCACATTTACTTCTATTCCCTTCACAATTTCTCACCCAAACCCTAAAACCTTCACTCTCTTTTCCAACGATGAAGGATCGGCCTCCATCCTCATCTGGCGCCGTCTACATCCCTCCCCACCACCGCCTCGGCCCCCACATGTCATCTCCCAACAACCACAAAGCCACCAAGAAGGGAGCAGATTTATCCGCTTCAGCCTCCACGATTCACTCCAAGCTTAGCGACCGCCAAAACAAACCTGTTTTGAATGCCAAGGGAACTGCTCTTCCTCCTCCTTCGCTACACTTGCAACAGCAACAGCAACAGCAACAGCAACAGCAACAGCAACAGCAACAGCAACAGCAGGGGACTTATAATAGCAATTATGGTAGTAAAAATAGTAATAATCAAAACCCACAGTATAATTCAGCTTATTATTTGGGGATTCCCGAGAATGGCTCTGATCACCAGCTGGATTTGCCTTTGCAATCGGTCAGTTCATACTTACACATATTTCCATTTGGTAAAGTTTCCTGTAAAATGGAGTTCTTGCGTTTGATTGTTTATCGGCATAAATGAAAGTCTTGTTGGTTGGCTTCGGGAAACATCGCACTTTATTTTGTTTTCATATTCTTCCAAATTTTGTTAATAAGAAAACTAGTTGAAATATTTTCCGGCTTTAGAAGTAGAGTGAGTGGAATTGGGGCGTGATTTCCATAGGTCAGAATTGCATGCCTATCAGAAAGTTCTAGAGGCATTGCATTGCTTCTCGGCCTTTGACTTGGGATGAAGAAGAAAAGGTGACCATTTTTCTCCATTCTTTTAATATTCAGAAATATGATGCATTTGGTGGAAATTAAAAATTAAAAATGAGTGGCAAGCACTTTTAATTTTCAAATATATATCTTTAATTGAAAACATTGTTTCTGAAGATTACTAACTTGCTAGTTCTGAATAGTTTAGCCACATGCCTAGGGATGAAATGTCTCGACATTATGGACCTATGCATAAGTCACGCATGAGTATATGCTTTAAGATTGTAACCAAGTGAATTTCATCAAAGTATCACTTAAATCTTATAGATTATATGCAATGATCGAATATGGTGGGGTTGAAGCTTGGGAGTTAGAAATTTTCAATGTCTCGATCTAAGCAAGAGAATACGGCTGTAAATAAAACTTTGATATTCATCATAGGTTTAGTTAATAAGTTCTAATGCTTCCCAATAAACTCAAGACTAATACTATGCTAAAGCCAATCAAGTTGATTGTTTTACCTTAATTGCACCTTGCTGTTGATTTTTTTTTTGATAGAAGTTGGAGGTCTCATTAAAAACTCCCTTCGTATTCGTTCACATACTAAAAGTATGTTAACGAACATTGGAAGGAAGAAAAGAGTACCTCAAATTTTATTGATAATAATACCCGATACAAAAGACACCACGGAATATCCTCTCATGGTGATGTACACCATTACAACAAACACCTTAACCCTATATATCCTCATCCAAAGCCACAATCTAATCACCTTCTAATTACACCACTAGCAGTAGGATTAAAACAACGCAACAGAACATAATGCAAATTAAAAGCAACACCTACAACCATATAGATAAAAACAAAACCACAATTGAAGAGACAAGATCTAATGAGACTCGTCTTCTTCAGGAGCCCAAGAGTTTGGTTTGAATGAAGGCTCTATCTCATGCACCATGACCTTGAAGAAGTTGTCACCAACCTTCAATTCCACCATCGCATCAATTCTCGCATCAGCCTTTATGAGGACTTGAATTTTTGCCCGATCAAAAGATGATGGAGACTGACAACTTTCGTCGATAGCTAGTAATAAACCCCACTTATCAACAATGTTCTTGAAAGTATTCCAATTCCATGCGTGAAAAGGAACACCCTCGCAAACTAACCATACTCGACGACACTCCATTACCAAACTCTCTGACCAAGCTTCGACTATGGAGAACCACTCTGCGAGAATAATTGATTTATTGTTCTTCACACTTCTCAATGAAGCATTGTCTTCGAAAATCATTAAAATCGCATTACCAGCAGCTCTCATTAAGGTAAAGCCAGTGAGGCCCTTCGCTTGCATTTGTCTAGCGAGATGACCAATTTTGACAAAGTCCTTGCACCACCCCACTAGACAATTGCTCAACACCTGAAGTTTTTCTTCATCTATAACACCTTCAACTTTATAATGATTCTTCCTCGAATCATCTTCCATCCCGGACTTGCGAAGAACACCTGACGAGGACTTCCTCCAATAGGAATGTCGAGGTTTGAATTTAGCATAAGAAACGCCAACTTTGCTGCCATCGATACGAGAGCCATTCATTTTTGAGATTGCTCTCCTTGCTTCTTCAATAGTTGCATACCGAATAAACCCAAAACGGACCCCTTTCGAGTTTCTTTTTTTAGGAATGAAGGCATCAATAACATGACCATGTGTGCCAAAAATAGACCCAAGTCTCTTCCAATGGATCATCTCTGGAAGGTTTTCGATAAAAATCGTGAAACAACCATTTCTGATCCCATTTCCGATTCTTGGATGACCATCCTTCGACCAATTTTGAAACTCATTTTTTCTCCTTCTCGTTACTTCGGAAAACTTTTCATGGGAGTACCCTTTCATGATGCTCTCCTTGGTTCCATCCTGAACAATATCAGCGATAGGTAAAGTTGGTGTTGTCTGCACTACAGAATTAGTTCCGAGCTTTTGTTTCCCTCCTTGAGAAGAAGACAGTCCATTGTCATCAATCCTACCAACAGGAGGGTGACAGTCTGAAGTAGCTTTAGCAAAGCAATTTTTCAAACACCCGGTTGATAAAGGACTATCACCCAACCTTGCTGAGAATACTCTTGAATTTTGCTGCTTTTGGGGCGAAGGCGATTGCCTGAAGGTAGTGCCGTCGGCCTCAACTGTCCAACCTGCCTCACGGGCCAAGGCGGCCAGTACATCGTTCATATTAGAACGCTCTGAGAGATGGAAATTACCAAACTGCCGCAATCCGGCCAGCATACGTCTAGTGAAGGCTCGCCTGTTCCGTCTCCGGAGCTTTGTCCTTTCCTTTTCGCTCTCCCTCTCACGTTTTTCCTTGCCGGAAAATGAAAAATTGATTGCATTGTCAGGTCCAGAGGAAGTACTAATGGAGTTCACAGACGCTGCACCTGCCGCAGTTGTTGCAGCTAAACCACTAGTACGCCTGTGCTTAGACGAGCGTAGAGGATCCATGGAGAGATCTGGGAAAGATGATTTACAGGAAAAACAGACAGCTTGGAGGATAGTGTAAGATTTCACCGAACCAGATGGATAGAACTGGGAAGTTGGGAAGAGGATTAACTGGAAAAACAGACAGCTTGGATAGGGTAAGATTTCACCGAACCAGTACACTGGAAATAGAACTGATTTTCGACACTAGGAAAGGGAGTTATGATCGCGAGAAGAAGCTGAGTCCGGTGGTGAGGCGGAGACGACCACTAGCGGCGGGAAGAGGCGTAAATCGACGGTGAACTTCGAGCAGATCTGCGTCGATTGAATGTCTCAATCGCAAATCTAAAGCCAGATTTGGAATCACCTCGAGTCGGTGAACTTCCCAGGAGAAAAAAGCTTCAAACGGTGGTCGGAGTATGGCGGCGGACGGCGGCGGCAGCAGCGGACGGTTGTCGGAGGCAGCTGACAATGGGTGGATGTCGGAGGAGAGAGAAAAATTTTCAAAAGACGCCTGGGCTTTTGTAATTCGAAATTTGAAAACACCTTGGTTAGAGAGAAGCTGGAGCTTCTCTCACTAACACATATGCAAGACTAATATTTTCAACAAGGGTCAGATATATATGCACCTTGCTGTTGATGGTTTGTCATTTGATCATAACGACAAAGTCCTAATGCTGATTTTATGATTCTGGAGCATTCTAGAATGTAGCTAAATTGGTAATCATGATATGCTTATGTTTGCTGTCTTACTTCAATTTACAATTTGTAATTATGTTTATATATATATATGAGTATCCTAGGGCTAGGAATAAAAACTGCTATAAATGTAGCATAAGTTGGTGTTTGTCTTGCTCGTGGAAGAGCTTTTCTACTGCAAAAGCAGAGCCAGGTTTCTGCTTCTCAAAGTATGAGATCTTCAGCTAATGAGGGAAGCCCATTTGATCTTTTAGACAAAGCTAAAAATCAAAGCTTCTACAAGAAGTGCTAAATTGTTTCATGATAAATATTTAATGAATCTTTTATACATGCTTGCCTTATATTTCAATAATTCAGAAATTATAGAGAGATCATATTATTTCACATTCATCTTTTCTATTTGATCTTTTTTTTTTGTATTGAATTTACTTGTTTTTGTTTTAAATTTACAGAAGTGTTGAATATTTTACATCTTTTACCTGTTAAATATATATAAAATAATATATATCAGTGTTTAATATTCTATAGCATTTCTGCATATATGTTGCTAAATTCTGTTTTAACTTCTCCTTACAGCTCTATTGAAACAGCTCAACTCAAACAATACTTCTTACAGGAACAGCAGCCAGACCAAACAGACCCTAGATAGTCTTCTACAAACATTAGGCAACTGTAGTGGGATATTATTTATTAATGCCTAAACAAAATCCTTTTGTTCTTGTTCCAACTTCAATTTTACACCATTTTTATCCTTTATTCCCTTTTGTTTTGTTTTGTTTCATTATTTTTTTAGTACTGTTTTGATTGCTTTTGCTAGTTCTGCCCACTTTAGCTGAAGCAAAGAGCATGAAGCCATGAACTAATTTCATCATTTTGTATGTGAAGCATCAAATTGTGTTAGGATACATATCCCTGGTACTTCTAGGATTTGGCAATTAAATGGCTCATTCAACAGTAATAATAATTAGTAATTCTCTTGACACCTTATAAAAGAAAAAATAAAGAAAACAAATAGAAGCATTAATGTGTGTATATTAAGGGTGAGACAAGATCATTGGGGGAAAGTTCCTATTTTATTATTTTTTTTTGAGGTAACATATTTTATTTTAAAGTTATTAATTTGTATCTAACTTTTTGTTTATTGAAATTTAGTTTCTAGCTCAGCCTTTGTTGCATGAAGGTTGTTATAATTTTATTACTGCATTCTCTGTTTTCTAGGGTTCTTTCAATGAAGCTAACCTTGAAGAGTGGAAGCGAAAGCTAGCCATACTCTTACATGATGACGGGAAACAGGAGTTGGTGTCAAGGGAGAAGAAGGACAGGCGTGACTTTGAGCAAATAGCCGCTTTGGCAGGCAGAATGGGTTTGTATAGGTATCTCTATTGATCAAAATAGATATTTTCCCATGTAAAATTCGCTTTATATGGGGATTCTCATCTCAAATTATGTTTGACAGCCATCTTTATTCCAAAGTTGCCGTATTCAGCAAGGTGCCCCTGCCTAACTACAGATTTGACCTGGATGATAAGCGTCCACAGAGGGAGGTACTCCTGTAACTCCCCTTTATGAAAAACCAAGACTATCTTGCTATAATTTCGGAGAGCAATGCTAAACACTTGAATCTTAAACTAAATAACCCAAAAGCACTTCTTCACCACACTTTTCAAAAGCAAGCTAAACTAGCCCTTAGTGTGCCTTTTGTTGAATTTGATAGTGAAATTCTCTTATATGTATTATTGATGCCTTTTGTACTTGACAGGTGAACTTAAATTTTGGTTTGTTGAAGAGAGTTGATGCCTATCTTGGAGAATACCTTTCTAAAAAGTGTAGGAATAATGAAAGCTTTTTGGATAATTGTTTTTCAAGATCAAGCAGTAATAGCAGTATAATTACTGAAGAAGGTTTTTTTGAGCAGCCAGAGCCACTAGCATCTGGCACAGCTGTTATGGAGAAAATTCTTTTGCGAAGAAGTTTGCTGCTGCGTGATCAGCAACAAGCGTGGCAGGTTCAGTTTATCTTGACGATTGTGCATATAGATTGTTGCTATTTCCTATTCATAGAATCATAGCATCTCATATGTGCCCATTATATTAGAATATTGATGATTGTTGTGCTGCACTGATATTTTATTATTGGCTAAAACGTGAAAATACTAGCAGTTAAATTGAATCTATCACATGAGACCCATCCTTTGCAATCTATTTAGCTCCTTATCTGTTATTTATGTCCAATTAAGCTAGTGTCAAATATAAACTGTTATGCTACATGAATCCATCGAGTGATATAATCTGCCACGTGCCAGATGAGATGGAGAAAAAATAATTAATTTTTAATATACTGGCTGGGAAGAAAATTGCCCTTTACTATTTAATTCTTTATTAAGGATGGTTATCTTCTTTACTTTGTTTTTTAGTGGTCGTGGGCCATTTGGCAGTTTCTCTTGCTAAGAAGGCTTATTTGGGTGTAAATGATAGTTAGGGGCCCAATTAATATATGGTAAAAGGAGGGTTGGAGTGATAGATTTAATCTTAAACCATCGTTTTGATTAAGTAATTCTTTAGGCATAATACCTAAACATACCTATTAACTTTATCCAATTTTTTTTTATAGAAAAGATTGCCTCGTTAAAAACCCCCTTCATAACCGCCAATCTACAAAGGTAGCTCAGCGGACATTGGAAGGAGGAAAAGAGTGCCATAAATTTTATTACTGAAAAACTAGATACAACAAAAGTACATTATACCAATTAAATCCAAACATCTCCTACCACCTAATAGCTTCAACCCAGAACAAGACACCTAACCAGTCCCTACTTTAAGCCTCCTCTTCAAACCTAACCAATTCCCAATTTGGAAAATTCATCTGCCTTATGATTGGCACCTCTCTTTACATGCCTAATGACCACACCCCTACTTAACACAATATTAGCAATGTCATTAACCACTGCTTTAAACAAAGGAGTATAAGAAACTGGATCTTTAATCCATTCTAAAGAAACTAAACAATCAGATTCTAAGATTAGCCTTCCCCTTAATGCCCACTCTGATTCCAAAAATAGCTTCAAACCCCTCTTAATAGCCAATAATTCTGCCAAAATTGGAGGACCCGATCCAACTTTCTCGGAAAACGAATCCAGCATGACACCCTTCTTGTCCCGAAGCAAACCACCTATGCCACCCTTCTGCCAAAATCTATCCATAGCACCATCCACATTTACCTTAAAAAAACCTGGCGGAGGAGGACACCAACCTACACGGGCAAAATTTACCTTTTTTGAACCTTGGTAGGAATATGCTAACGTGAGATCGCCCACTAAACTATCAAAAAGGACCGAATGATTTTGAAACTTTGAAGAAAATCATGTTGCCACTCTATATCTCACCAAGAAGAAAAGTTGTACTCGATCAAGAATCCCTTTATTGAAAACAATTTCATTTATTTGCTTCCAAACCGAACACAATATTGCTTCAGGAATAAAGGTCCATATAGCTGAATTCGGAACCAAACCAAACCATGCCGAGAATAAATCAAACGGGCTCTCGGGGATAGCGAATGAGATGTTCCGCATTCTCATGAAATTCGTCCAAAGACCCCAGGATACATTGCAGGAAACAAAAAGATGAGTAACAGATTATATAAAAACTCCGCACAAGGGGCACAACTGATCTTCGATCCCAATTACACCACGCTTAACTAACTCGACTTTACCCAAATTTTGAAGAATTCATCCATCATTTTTCATTGACATACCGTTCTATTTCAGTATAGCCAAACCTCATATTTGATGATTGGTGCAATTTAGCCAACTAGATAACATGCTAACGTTCACTAATATTTTTTTCAATTGTTCCCTTCTTTTTCTCTTTTTTCCTCTGAATTCTGTTCTATTCTTTTTGCCAACAAAACCTCTTTGTCAAACTGCTGCAGCTCTAGAGCTGTTCGACTTAGCTAACTAAGGGATTTTAAGGCCTTAACAAGTTGTAGCCAGCCGATGCCAGATTGGGTTGAATTTGGCTTGCTAAGGTTATAATAGCCTTGGCTGGTTTGAACTATTTTGATAATGCGTTTTCCTCTTCATTCATGTTTGTAGGAGTCTCCTGAAGGAAAAGGAATGCTAGACTTCCGTCAAAGTCTTCCTGCTTATAAAGAGAAAGATACCATATTGACAGCCATTTTGCAGAATCAGGTGTGTTTTTTGATAAGAATCAGGTGTGTTAATTTTAGTACTTGTTCTTTGGTTTTAGTTGCTTGCCTCTGCAGGAACTAGTGGTAAAGGGATGTTGTATTCATGAACATATTGGCTTCTATTGGAGCGAAAATGAGCTGGGCTACTCATACAGGCTCAGCTCATCAAGAAACATTTCTTGGATTGTTATTGAACTAATAAATTGACCTTGAGGCTATATTGTATTTTGTTAGTTAAGTGAGATGAATTTAATATTATATGTTTTTGCTTGAAGGCCATAGTGGAAGTTGTTTAGTGATTGTAAGTTATTGCATCTAAATGGCCTATTTTTTCAACCAACTGAAATATTTTTGGTGTGCTTGGTAGGAAAATTAGTGAGAGGAAGCAAAATAGGAAGATTATCATTGTCTACACTAACTTATTAATGAAGAAAATCTTTCCGAACTGGAACAAACGATGAAAGAAAATGAGAGTGATGTGAGTTATTGCATTTTTCTAGGGCTTTACCTTTTAGTTTTTGCTTTCTCAAAAGTTATAAACAGGGTGAAATCTCAATCACAAATGATAAAAAATGATCAAATCAAATGTAAAAGAAAATTCTACTGTAAATTATTCCACAGAAAAGAAAAATTGTGCATTTTGCCATCCAAGAACCAAAATTTATTTTTATTCTCTGAAAATATTAGTTGCTTTAACATCAAAATGATATACTTTTTTACTTCCAAAAGCAAAAGGAAGGTGGCAAAAGCAGCATGCAAATCAAGTCCTAAATGACTTTTTCTTTTTTCTCTATATTTAGGATGAGAACAGGAGTTTCTGCACTTAGTACTTTTATTTATGTTATATCATTTCATGAGAGTAGATCGTCTTAACAGAAATAATTGGTTGCTTCAATTCCAGAGTTGGTGCACCACTTTGGTTATGTAGACACATGTTATATTTTCTTATAAGTTGTGTAGTCACAAAATTTTGTGTTTTGCAGGTTGTTATTATCTCAGGTGAAACTGGGTGCGGCAAGACCACACAACTTCCCCAATTTATTTTAGAATCTGAGATAGATTCTGGCCGTGGAGCTTTTTGTAGCATTATATGTACACAACCCAGGCGAATATCTGCTATATCTGTTTCAGAAAGAGTTGCTTCAGAAAGAGGAGAGAAATTGGGTGAATCTGTTAGTTTCTGTCTGAAATAGTTGCTAGAACATTTGCCCAACTATTATGTTTCTTTGTTAAAAATATTTTTTAAGAAAATCAGGTAATCTTTTCCTCATTATTTGTTTTATTTGAAGGTTGGATATAAAGTACGGCTTGAGGGTATTAAAGGGAGGGATACTCGTCTTCTCTTTTGCACAACAGGCATTTTGTTGAGAAGACTACTAGTGGATAGAAATTTAAAAGGTATAACTCATGTCATTGTGGATGAGATTCATGAACGGGGGATGAATGAAGGTAATATGTGAAAATGGTGTCTTAGTTTTGAAGTTAGTGAAACATGATTTCTAATATAATATTTAAAATGTCAGATTTCCTTCTCATTGTCCTTAAAGATCTGCTTCCTCGCCGCCCTGAATTAAAGTTGATTTTGATGAGTGCAACTTTGGATGCTGAGCTTTTCTCCTCATATTTTGGCGGGGCACCTTTAATCCACATTCCAGTAAGTTGAAAACTCAATTCCACCAATCGTTTCACTTTAGGCAGATTTATTTAGGTCCCATTTGCTGGTTCAGTGGCTTTTCTCCTCGTATGCTTGAATTAGACTTTTGATGTTCTTGTTTGTCATTTTTCAAAGCATTCGTTCAGAGGACCCTCCTTCCTTATTTAATTCGTGGGGGAGTTTGAGGTTGAATTCATTGATTTGGAAGTTTATCCCGGGAGTCGTTTTTTGGTCTATTTGGAAAGCAAGGAATGCGATTGTGTTTGAAGGATTAAACCTTGATAGGCTGTCTCTCTTTTTCCTTGTGAGATTTAGGTTATCTAAATGGTTCCTAGCCAAGTATCCTAAATTCCCTATTCAGGAAGATCTGCTAATTGGGGATCCATCACTAGCTGATGGTATTTCTGTTCCTAAACCTAAAGATTATGATGTCATTAGCTGGCTTCCTCCACCTGTTGATTTCTTAAAGATGAATGTTGATGGAGCTGTTAGGTTAAAAGACTCGATTGGAGGTATTGGAGGCATTTTAAGGGACTGGAATTGCTGCACTCTTCTGACTTTTTCTGAGAACATTGGTCAAGGTCCCCCACCAGTTGCAGAGTTAAAGGCTATTAAAAGAGGCATCGAAATTTTTTTAGCTTCAAGATGGTCTGCTGCTAGTAGATTGGTTGTTGAGAGTGATTGTAAGTCGGCAGTGGAGTGGATTCACACCCCGTCTTTGGCACCAGTTTTCATGTTGCCTCTGGTTAGAGAAATTCTGTTGATCCTTTCGGGAAAGGTGGTTTTAATTAGGTTAATTCCAAGGTCTTGTAATGGGGAGGCAGATAGTTTAGCAAAGCAGGGGATCGGTTGATTGTATGTTTTAGGTATAGTTCATTTTCCTATAGCTGTAGGTTCTTGAAGTAGCAGAAGTGGTTAAGTCTTATGTAAAAGCATCTGCTGTATTGTTAAGTCTTATGTAATCTGGTTTGGTAATAAAATGAGGCACTCTTTTCCTCCCTCCACTACTTGATCCTTTCTATTAGGAAAGGGTCAACTATGAGGGAGGTTTTTAACGAGGCTTCCTATTCCTATCAAAAAAAAAAAAAAAGCATTCGTTCAGAGTATATACCACTAGCTTAAATTCTTCCAGATTCAAGTCTGTTTTCTGGTAGAGTTCTCCAGAGTTTAAAATGCATCACTGAATTTCCTTTTTTTCCTTTCCTGTTCTAATTTAGGGTTTTACATACCCAGTTCAAACACATTTTTTGGAGAATATTTTGGAGATGACTGGTTATAGGTTGACTCCAGCTAATCAAATTGATGATTATGGCGAAGAAAGAATGTGGAAAATGAGTAAACAAGCCCCGAGAAAGAGGAAGAGCCAAATTGCCTCTTCTGTTGAGGTAAGCAAACTTCTTTTCAATGTTGTAAAAAACTGAACTGGATTGGTTGGTCCGATTTGTTCACTAAGGAACTGGTGGTTTGTTAGATTCAGTACATATAAAAATACCCAAGCCTTAAGTGAACTGATAGAAAACCGGTTCAACCCATAAAATAACAGTTAAACCTGTAATGAACTTTTTAAACGGGTAAAACACTGGTTCTTTATTGATTTTACTATTTTCTGTTAAAATATATTTTTGTTAGTGATGATATTTGAGTCTTTAACCTCTTAGTCATTTTAAATGCATTATGCTCACTATATATATATTTAAATGCCATATTAAGCCATATATATTTATTGCTTATTTATAATTAAAACCATATATTTAGTGGCTCGACTGGTGACCTGAATAATTCCAGTTTGGTTCTTTGTTTATTGTTTTTTGCTACTTTTGGAATACTGCACTCTATGATCCTTATTTTCTCTCTTTATTGTGAAAATATATGATAGGATGCACTCCGAGCAGCTGATTTTAAGGATTTCAGCCCTCAGACCCAGGAGTCTTTGTCATGTTGGAATCCTGATTGTATTGGTTTCAATCTCATAGAATATCTTTTATCATATATCTGTGAGAATGAAAGGCCCGGTGCAGTTCTAGTCTTTATGACGGGGTGGGATGACATAAGTTCTCTGAAGGAAAAGCTGCAAGCTCATGCAATCCTTGGACATCCTAGCCGAGTTTTGTTACTTACTTGCCATGGTTCTATGGCTAGTTCTGAGCAGGTAATTTTCATTCTTTGTTTGGTGTATATTCTAAGATCTTCTGGCTGGCTGGCCTTTTCCCCATTTGCCCTTCTCATACATGATAAAATTCTAAATAAGTTTTCTGGATTCCTGCAGAAGCTAATTTTTGAAGAGCCTGAAGATGGAGTGAGGAAAATTGTATTAACTACTAATATTGCTGAGACGAGCATAACGATTAATGATGTTGCTTTTGTTCTTGATTGTGGTAAGGCCAAGGAGACATCGTATGATGCACTGAATAACACTCCTTGTTTGCAATCGTCGTGGATTTCCAAGGTTTCTGCTCTACAAGTAAGGCTACCATTTGATTACATGTATGATCTCTAATCTATGTTGAGGTTAAAACTGGCCGTCGATAATTTGTCTTTGCTATGTCAGAGAATTGTCTAGTATAGTTCAACTCGTGTTGAATGTTCATTTTATCATCTATAATTTGAAGGTTTCTTTCTGACTATCTGTTAAGAATGCTTTTGCTAGTTAGGGAGTTTCAGCTTGGGTGGTTCTTTCTATTTGTTTTTCGGGCTTTCAGTTGTAAGGGGGGTTATTCTTGGAAGTAGTCTACTCTTTGTAATACTTTTAATCAATAATATTTGAGGCACTCTTTTCTTCCTCCCGCTGATTAAGGAATTCCACTAGGCGTTTCGTTAATCATGAAAGGGGTTTTTAACGAGGCCTCCTCTTCTTATAAAAAAAAGAATGCTTTTGCTAGGCTATTGCTTTTTTCCATAATAATTTGCACTAGGTGCTGCTAGGGGATGAATCTTTTCCTTCTAAGATTAATTGAAATAAAAATTATCAAATAAATCAATTTCTTAAGAGAACATGAATGCTAGCATGTTGCACAAGATTGGCTTTTTGTAAACCACATCTTTGTGTCAAATGAGAAGCACGTGGAAGGAGAGAAATAGTTAAATAATGAGCTTCTGGTTGGCGTATATGTCTGCCTCATTTGTATGGTTCCTGAACTCATAAATCTTCAAGGGGCATGGTTTAGTGTGATCTTCAAAGAGAGAAAGCGTGATGTTCATATGGTCTCGTATTGTTTGTTGAATACTCGAACATTGAAAAAACAAGGAATTTGATATTGTCCCCTTTTCACTATTAAAGGTATGTGATTAATGAAAAAAAAACTTTAGAAATTTTAGAGAACTCCAATTAGGTGGCTCTCCCCCTGTCACCTTAGAAAAGTTTGCTTAGCCTGTAAGGCTTTGAGGTGCCTTTTTGGTCTTGTACAATTGTACCAAGACATAGTGCCTAGGCAGCACCTAGGCGCCTACTTCAATAACATTTATTACCTGGTTGGCCTTAACAAACTTTTTGTTGTTGGGTTTGTGCATATTGATTCAAGTTCAGCCACTTTTTTTCATTTTCACCAATTTAACAAGATTCCTCTTAAATTTCATGGTTGTTTCAAGAATCTTCTAGAAAATGAGTTGCTTGCCTCTAGACAAACATTTTAATCTTTCTTGACTCCCAAATGATTTGCCTTAGTGGGTAAACATCTGATGCAAGTTTTCAGGACAAACATCTTATGCAAGTTTGCCTCAGTCTTGTGTTTCTTTTCAATGTTGAATTCGAGTGGTAAATCTAATGCAAGTTTTATTGATGCCATGGAGATATAAATATTATTGCATTACTTTTGCTCAGAGAATAAGCATTGCTCATTAGATTTGGGGATCTAATTGTCTAGTTTCTACTAGTCATGTATTTGGAAGTTAAGAAAAAATGAGTTTGCTATAAAAATTTACTGAAAAGTAGAGATACAAAACATTTAGTAATATAAGCTAGAAAAACATGCCAAGAAAGTTGCATGGAAGGCTAGAGTGAGAGTAAAAATATTTTTGAAAGGTTGGAGTCAAAAGATCGAGATAAAGATATTTATAGGTTTGTTTGGATGAGAGAAAAAGATTAGAGATTGGGTAACTATTAGGAAGATTATGATCGTTGCGAAGGATGAGGAGATTAAAGAGAGATGATGGGATTGTTTTGATAATCTCTTCGACTTTAATTACTGTAGTGATGTGGGTGACTTTACTATGAGAGGACCTAAATTGTGACTTTATTTGTTCCTTCGATGTCAAAGAGGCTTTGCATTTAATATAATTAGAAAAGATGATAGGCTTAGATGCATTTCCTATTGAGGTTGTGATGAAGTTCGATTGAGTGGTGGTTGAACTTGTTTAACGAGATTGGGCGAAGTAATAATACGCTTGATCAGTGGAGAAAGGATTCTGTGGTGCCTTTATATAAAGACAACAATCACATTCAGGACTACTCAAGCTATTGGAGAATAAATCTTTTGTAAAGCTTTGGGAAGGGATTATTGGCCAATGTTTAAACAAAATGCTAAGTTTATGGAAAATCTGTTTGGTTTCATGCTAGGATGATCAATCATGAAAGCAATTCATCTGTTGCTACTTATTGAGAGGTTTTGAATGTCAGGATGAGACTTACACATGTTTTTTATTTATTCCAAGAAACTTATGATGCTACGTAGAGGGGTTCTTCTGCGGGCTTTGAACAAGAAGATGAGAAGATTGGTAGAGGCCAAAAAGGAATTCTTTAGAGATTTTTTAATCGTTTTCTTCTTAATACATGTTTAATCGATTTGTCATTGAGTGGAGGTAGGTTTACTTGGTGTAATAACCAAGATTCTCTAACCTATGTAAGGCTGGACAGATTTTTGGTTGATAGCCAATTCTTGGCAGCTTTTCCAGATTTAACACAATCGTTGCTGCCAAGATCATTGTCAGATCATAATGCAGTAATAATTGAGAATGGAGGTGTAAATTGGGGGAAAAGCCGTTTAAACTGTTTAACTATCTGATGGATGAAGCAGGATTTGAGGATGTGATCAGTTGTTCAATTCAAGAATGTAAAGAGATACAGATGAATGCTGGAATTTTCAAAATTCTGAAAAAAACCAAAAACTGCCATTAAAAATTGGGCAGGAAAGAGAGAAAAGTTTCCTGGAGCTTTAATTTCAGAAATAGAATTGAAGATTCAAAAATTAGAAGTGGAGGTCCAACAGCAGCAAGATAGTACTTATGATGAGAAAGCAGCTGAGTTAAAGGAGTTAAGGTCAGAATTATGGAAGTTGCATAAGATAGAGGAGCAGATTTGGTTCCAGAATTCTAGATCCAAATGGGTAGAAGATGGGGACAGAAATACCAGATTCTTCCATACATGTGCTTCAGTTAGGAGGAAAAAAATGCGTTGAATGCTCTTATAAGCAGGGGTAATGTTATTCAAGACCCAAATGTTATAAAAGCCACTGTCAAAGAACACTTCTTTAAGGCTTTTAATGACAAATCGACCTTAGAAGTGAAAGAAATCGAGTTGGATTTTTCCAGAATTTCAATTCAGCAGAGTTTAATTTTGGAGAAAGAATTTACTGAGGAGGAAATATGGGAGACTTTAAAGTCTTGCAATAGCAACAAAACCCCGGGGACGGATGGTTTTAATTTGGGGTTTTTCAAGAGATATTGGCATGTACTTAAAGGAGAAATTATGAAGTTCTTCTTCAACTTCTATTCGGGGAAAGATTGGGATCATGACATCAACCATACCTTTATTACAATTATTCCGAAGGTCTCTAACAGTGGTGACCTTGATGATTATAGGCCTATTAGCTTAGTTGGTGGATTATATAAGATCCTATCTAAGTGCCTATCGAGGAGGTTGAGGAGCTGTATTTCAGACTTAATTAGTCCTACTCAATTTGCCTTCACCCAAGGGAGACAAATATTGGACTGTTCTTTAATTGCGAATGAAGGAGTGGATTATTGGAGGAAAAATGGTCCTAAAGGTTGTGTTTTCAAGGCAAATTTCAAGAAAGCGTATGATTCGGTTGATTGGGACATTTTGTTTCTAGTAATGGAGAAAATGGGATTTGGTTCCAGGTGGAGAGGTTGGATCAGAAAGTGTGTAACCACAGCTTCAGTTTCTGTTTTAGTGAATGGAGTTCCTACTGAGGAATTTGCAATGGCTAAAGGACTTAGACAGGGGTGCTCTCTATCACCTATGTTGCTTAATTTTATTGGAGAACTTCTCAATATGCTAATTTTAAAGGCTGTGGAACAGGGTCTGTTTTCTAGACTGGTTATAGGAAGGGATGCGGCTGCTTTCAAATTATCTCATCTACAGTTCGCGGATGATCTCATTATGTTTTGTGGTGCATCTAAGACGCAGATTTTAAATGTGAAGAGGGTGCTTAGAGTGTTTCAAGTGATTTCTGGTTTACAGCTCAACATGAAGAAAAGTAAACTGTTTGGTGTGAATTTGAACGAGGAAGAAGTTCAGCAGTGGGCTAATTCTATCGGATGTTCTGTGGGTAGTTTTCCCTCTGAATATTTAGGACTGCCTTTGGGTGCTACTAGAAACTCTACAGTACTTTGGAATCCGGTGGTGAATAACTTTACGAATAAATTAGCGGGGTGGAAGGCTTCTTCACTGTCATTAGCAGGAAGGTTGGTTTTAATAAAGTCAGTTCTATGTTCGCTCCTTCATGAATAGAGCTCTTCTAGCAAAATGGCCTTGGTGGTATGCTAATGAAAGGGGGTCTGTTTGGAGGGTATTCATTTGTTCTAAATACAATATGGATCCATCTTAGTTAATGTTTGACAACAAAGTCCCACAAAGAGTATCTTGGATTTGGAGATCGGTGGTTATGAATCACTTTAAAGAAGACAGTATTGGCTCTAAGTTTAGAAGTTTGTATTCTTTCTGAGTTGGGGATGGCAGATTGATTAGGTTCTGGCAGGATAATTGGGCTTTGGACTATCCTCTTCTAATTATTTTCCTCGATTGTTTTCCATTTCCACAAACAGAATGGGTAAACTGGTTGAATTTGGGAATTACAGCTCATCGGGTTGGAGTTGGGATGTGCAGTTTAGAAAAAATTTAAACGACTGGGAAATAGAATAGTGGGTTAACTTGATGAACGCTATTTCCTCTGTTTCTCTATCTAAGGAGTTAGTGAGGGGTGATTTGGAAAGGTACTGGAGATGGGGTATACACTGTTAAATCTGGCACTAAGATTGTTCAGCCATTATTTCGGATTCGAAAGAGGTATATTTCTGGAAGAAGATTATTTGGAGGTGCCAGATTCCACCTAGAGTGGAGTCCTTTATGTGGCAGGTGGTGTTAGGGAAGCTGGTTGTTAGGGACAGAACTTGTTAAAAGGGGAATACAAGGAATTGTAGACATTATGTGCCCTCTTTGTAAGAGGGAGGTGGAGTCTCCCTCGCACTTGTTTTTCACGTGTTCGGTGGTGTGGACGATTTGGAACAAATTTCTGAATTTCTGGAAGATTAAGTCTGTTTTGCATGTTAATGCGAAAAACTTCCTACTTGCTTGGGCTGATTTGAAGTCTACCTCTACAATTTGGTCTTTTTTCCTGGGCAGTTATTTGGACTACTTGGAAAGTTAGGATCTTATGTGTTTGAAGGGGAAAGTTGGATTTGGCTGAGTATTTTTCCTAGCAAGGTTTAGACTAGCTTCTTGGTTCCTTGCTAAGTACAAAGAGGTGTCTATTCCTAAGGATTCTCTTATTTCAGACCCTTCATTAGGGGATTTGTGCTCTCTTTATCCTAATCGGCTTGTAACTAAATTTCCTTGGTCTCCTCCTCCTCAAGGTTTTGTAAAGTTAAATGTTGATGCGACTACTACAAGAGATTGGAAGAAGAGTGGGATAGGAGGTGTTCTGAAGGACTCCTCGGGTTTGACTTTAAGTTCTTTCAAGGAAACTGCTGGTCCGGGCCCTCCAACTTTTATGGAATTAAAAGCTATTCAGAAGGGTCTAATGTTCTATGCGAATTTACGAGAGAGGAAGGGACGTCTGATTATTGAAAGTGACAGCAAAGTTGCGGTAGACTGGATTAAGAAAGTGGATCTAGTTCCTGATGTTTATGCTTTTTTGATTAAAGATATTGTTCATAGGCTTAATGTTTTAGAAGGTGTTGTCAGATGGGTTAATAGGACAACCAATTTAGAGGTTGATGCCTTAGCTAAAGAAGGAATTGGCTGATTCTATATTTATATTTTGGATGTTTTATGGTTGTTTCGAGTTTATTTGGTTTGTGGGGTGTATGATGGTTGTATCTTATGTAATTTTATGGTTCAATAAAATCCTAAGGCACTCTTTTCCTCCTTCCGCTGATTAAGGAGTTCATATAAGCTCCATTAATCAAGAAGGGGGTTTTTAACGAGGCCTGAAATTCTTATAAAAAAAAAAGATGACAATTCCTTTCAAATATTTTAATAAAATATGATACATGTACAAGGGAGTAGCCATGAATGTAAGGACTTGTGGTGGTTTGAGTGTTGACCTATTGAGTTTCCATTACAATAGGGGTGCGCCTAGGATCAACATTGAATCATTTTCTCTTTTTCACAGTAATAGATGAGATAACAACAGGCATTCTAGATGAAATACCTTGGTTTGTTCTATTTGTGGGTGACATTGTAGTGGTTTTTGGGACTAAAAGAGAGGTTAATACCATATTAGAGTTGTGGAATCAACACGAGAAACTCAGAGATTTAGATCGAGTAAATGGAGTGAGCATCAAGTAAAAGGGGGAACAATGATCTTGAGGTGATCGCACTTGATGGTCAAGTGATACCATAGAGGCGATAATTCAGAAAGAACAGCATATTGATGGAGATGTTAACTGTAGGATAGAGGTTGGGTGGCTTTTTTGGAGAATTGAGATTGGAGTTTTGTGTGATCGCAGTATACCTTTGGGTTTGAAGTGGAAATATTTTGGGACAACTATCTAATTTGCTTAGCTATGGTGTACGGAATGTTGGGCTAATGTGAAGCGACATCTATAAATGATGAGTGTAGCTAAGATGCCAATATTAAGATGGATGTGTTGTAAGACTGGAAAGAATGAAGTTAAAAATGATGATATTTGTCTTCAAGTTGGGATAGCTTTTATAGAGAATAAGGTGAGAAAACCATTTATGGTAGTTTGGTCATTAAATGAATACTGAGGGATGCACCTATTGAAAGGATGTAGCAATTAAAGGGTTGAAGGGCTAAAAAAGACATGGTTCGAGGTGATAAATAATGATATTAAACTATTAGAACTTGAAGAGAAGATGGTGGCTAATATAAATGATTGAAGGTGGATTTGTGTACCCCTATAAGTGTTTCTTTGCCCTGTCTTTTTTGTAGCCGGCCTCAAATAGGTGGGGTTAAGGCTTTGGTTTATGCATTTGACATGCTGTTTCCATTGATTTCTCTTTCTTCACTCATTTTATCTGTATACTGGAAAGAAACTCTTAAATTAAACAAGTCATTCACTGCTTGAGTTATGTACCTTTATGCTGATTAATGTATTGTTTTGTACATGCATGTCTACATAGAGAAGAGGAAGAGCTGGGCGAGTGCAGCCTGGGGAGTGTTACCATCTCTATCCTCGATGTGTATACGATGCCTTCGCTGAATATCAATTACCTGAAATTTTGAGAACGCCTTTGCAGTCTCTTTGTCTGCAAATCAAAATTTTGAAACTCGGTAGTATATCTGAATTTCTATCAAGGGCATTGCAGTCACCAAAGTTACTGGCGGTAGTAGCCCATTTCATATCTTGGTTTTACTTTTATTTTAATATCAATGTCTTACCAGAAAACATTCATTTTGCACCGTATAAATTTCAGATTATGCCATTATTTGAAGGCCTTATTCGCGACCTTTGAATGAATGCCTCTTCTGTACTCTTGTATTCCTCCCATTAATGTTTTTATTTATTAAACTGTGACTGTAGGTTCAAAATGCCATTGAATATTTAAAAATCATTGGGGCGTTGGATGTGAATGAGAATCTAACTGTGTTGGGTTTGTGAACACTTATGTTTGCTATTTCATATTAATACTCTTTAGTTTCAGTAATTATTTGTTACTGTAGTCTCATTTGGTTCAACTTACTTGATTGATAGGGCGTTATTTGACTATGCTTCCAATGGAGCCAAAACTTGGGAAGATGCTCATCCTTGGTGCTATCCTTAATTGTCTGGATCCTGTGTTAACTATTGTTGCTGGTCTTAGTGTTAGAGATCCATTTTTGACACCATTAGACAAGAAAGATGTAAGTCAGCTTTTCCTTAATCATATGCATCTTTTTGTAGGATTGTAATCTGAGCATGAACCTTTTATTCTTTACTCTTCCTTTTTGGATGAGTCCCTGTTTACTTAAATTTATAGCATATCTATGGTAAATTTTGGTGATGTTGACTATTTATTGTTTGAACAATGGTGTAGCAGTTCTGGATGTGACGGTTGTACCTTCCTTAAGGACCTGTTGTTGGCTTAACTTTCCAAAACTGAATTCTAGGGTTGGTGGCATAGACAGTTTTACTTTTGTAGCTATAAGAGTGCTAGATCTGTTGGAATGTTTAATGGCAGTTAAGTGCATGAAAATAAGAAACAATTTTCTGGGTGCAAAATGAATAAAACTAAAAGTACAAGCTTAGGAATTGGTAAAGAGAAAGGTGATAGTGTATAATTGTATTAAGGTTGTATGGTTTGGTCAAATCTTTCTATTAAAAGCTTATTGAGTACAATGTATTGATTATTAATGATAGAATCCCAAGTTTAATGGTCAAATGAGTTTAAAAATTTTATGGTGTCCTTTTGGTTCACAGTGAGGTAGTGCCAATACAAACGAAATAGGGTGGTGTAGGATTTGCAGAGAGGACTGCAGCATGCTCTAGATCATTTAGAGCTGTGGCTGGCAGAAAGATTGGAAGCATAAAGTGAGAGTTTGGAATAGAAACAGGGGAACAACAACAATCCACATGTGTGAATTAGGAAGGAAGCTGGAGTTTTACTTGGGAAGGGTAACCAAGTACTAGTAAGAGAATACAGATTGTTGTATGGAATTTGCTTGCTTCTAAAATAAGCCTTGAAAGCCTGATATTGTCGACTTGAGGTGTAACTAGTACATCCAATAGAAAGATGCCAGGTCATTGTCATTAAAGGGATGGAAAATGAATTCTAAACTTACAGTTACGAACTAATTCTCTGGTAACAGTTAATGAATGTGGTAGAAAACATCTCTGGAGTAAGACACAGGAGGTACTCTTATACCCCAGAGAAAGGTTGAGAAAAACCTTTACAAACTCCAATCTGAGCCACCTAGGCGAAACTCTCTATGACATGCCGTTGTGATGATTTAACCCAAAATTTGCCACTTTTTCCCAGGCTTAATCCATTGGTGTGGTTGCTAGTCAAATCCCTGCAAGACATGCTTAGGGACAGTTTTAAATTAGTTAAATCATTATTTTCTAAAATCATCTAAAAAAGTTAAATAACCAAAAGAGCTGGAGACCAAATTTCCTAAAATAACTATTCAGGAGGATGTATTGATTGGTAATCCATCCCTTGCAGATGGAGTTTCACTATTGAAAGCTAAAGATCGTCATGTCTTACGATGGATTCCCCCCCCCCCCGGTAGATTTCCTAAAGATGAATGTCGACGGAGCTGTTAGGCTTGATGGTTCGGGTGGAGGAATTGGAGGTATATTAAGAGATTGGAATGGCTGTACCCTTTTGACTTTTTCAGAGAATGTTGGTCAAGGAACTCCACTTGCTGAATTAAAAGCTATAAAAAGAGGTATTGAAATTTTTTTGTCATCATGTTGGGAGTCTATTGGTAGGTTGATCGTTGAGAGATTGTTCTCCGGCAGTGGATTGGATTCATTCCCCGGTTCTGGCCCCAGTTTTTTTATCGCATCTAGTTTATCAGATTTCTACTCTTATCACGGGAAAGGTTCATTCAGTGAGGTTAATTCCAAGGGCGTGCAATGGAGAGGCAGACAGTTTAGCAAAGAAAGGGATAGGTTGACTGTGTGAGATGATTATTATGGCAGTTGGAGTGTTTAAGTATTATGTACTGGATTTTAGTGTAATTGTTAAATCTTATGTAATTTTTCAGTATCAATAAAAGTTCTAAGGCACTCTTTTCCTCCTTCCGCTGATTAAGGAGCTTATTCTAAAGCTCTATTAATCAAGAAGGGGGTTTTTAACGAGGCCTTCCATTCTTATAAAAAAAATAAGAGCTGGAGACTGAATCACATTGACTTCATGTGAAAGGAACTTCCCAATAAAGGTCCAAATAGCAGATTGCATATTACAGATCATTTGTCCTCCTTGCAGCTTGCAGAGGCTGCAAAGTCGCAGTTTTCCCATGATTATAGTGACCACCTTGCACTTGTTCGGGCCTATGAGGGCTGGAAAGAAGCTGAGATAGACCTTACTGGTTATGATTACTGCTGGAAAAATTTTCTTTCTGCACAATCAATGAAAGCAATTGATTCACTTCGGGAGGAATTTCTTTCATTGCTCAAGGATACTGGTCTTATTGATGACAATGCAACTAGCTTTAATTGTTGGAGCTATGATCAGCATCTCATCCGGTCAATTATTTGTTATGGGCTGTACCCTGGAATTTGCTCTGTTGTGGTGAGTTTTTAGTTTATTTCTCCTTGTGTATTCCAAAAATCAACAAACTGAGTACCTTGCATTAAAAGTATACTTGGCTTGCCGGTTAAATTTTATGGCTGTTGACTGTGTGCTTAACATTACAAGGATAGTCCTCAACTTTGAACTTGAGAGACTAAATTGTGAACTGTCAACATTAATTTGCATTTCCTAATAATTTTCCATGTGTGTTAATGGATTCATGTGCAGCATAATGAGAAATCATTTTCACTGAAAACTATGGAGGATGGACCTGTGCTTCTATACTCAGTAAGTCTGTTTCAAGTTGAATCTTTGCTGTTAATTACTGTGTTACTATGTTAGCTGAAATATAATATGCTTTGTTCTATTTCGTATTAGTTTTCATGTGATAATGTACATTTATATTTTATAGAACTCTGTTAATGCTCGGGAATCTAGAATTCCGTATCCTTGGCTGGCGTTCAATGAGAAGATAAAAGTGAACTCTGTTTTCCTGCGGGACTCAACCGCCGTCTCTGATTCAGTGCTTCTCCTGTTTGGCGGTAGCATCTCAAGAGGAGATGTAAGATTTTCTCCTGTCTATATTATTACTAGATTTTTTTTTTGTTTCTTCAAGTAATGTGTTTTTTATCTGGTTTTCTATTATTATTTTTTCTGGCTGTAATTTTCTGTAATTATTTTCAGTAAATGGTGGTTTAGTGAAATTATATTCTTGCTCTAATAGGATGGACACTTGAAGATGTTGGGAGGGTACCTAGAATTTTTCATGCAACCTTCTCTAGCAGAAAAATATCTAAGTTTAAGGAGAGAATTTGATGAGCTGATTCAAAATAAAGTAAGTTAAAAGCTCAGACAACCAATTTTCCCTTAGCTGGTGCTATTCTGCTTATTTTATTTATATTTTCCCTTTACTTCATATAACCTCTGCTTGAATATAAAAACCATCAGTTCTGTCTAATTTCTTGATCTTAGATTTTAATAAATTCATTTTTGGGCAGTTACTGAATCCCCAAATGGTCCTACATATTCATCATGAGTTGATTTCTGCCATACGGCTACTGGTTTCTGACGATCAGTGTGATGGAAGATTTGTATTTGGCCGTCAGGACCTTAAACCATCAAATATGCCTGTTATTCCACCAAAACAGTCTCTAATTTCTAGGACAGAGAGTGGTCCCGGGGGTGATAATCCTAAAAGTCAACTCCAAACATTGGTCACTAGGGCAGGATATGCCACGCCAACCTACAAGACATATCAATTGAAAAACAGTCAGTTCCAATCTACTGTTGAGTTCAAAGGTATGCAAATCACTGGGCGGCCTTGCAACAACAAGAAGAATGCAGAAAAAGATGCTGCATCTGAGGCTTTGCAGTGGTTAATGAGTGATACTGGGATGGGCCATGAGTATATCAATTATATGTCGATGTTGCTGAAGAAAAGCAAGAGGGATCACTGATCTACAACGGTTCAGTGTCCTTGAAGATTTTGTGAGGAACAATGATCCCAACAAATGATTTCAAACCCAATTTTTGTTCTTTTTTTCATGGTTATGTTGGCCCTATTCTGTGGAAAACAAAGTAATTGCATTGCCACCTGGAAAGGCAAGACAACACCACAATTTTGAGACTTCCGGTATGGTCGCAATCATGTGGATGATTTACTAGAAAAAGCAGGCCCATTTTATCTCTGCTAGTGACCTGCAAACAGCTTACTAACTAAGGCTAAGTGGACTAGAATTGACCTATACTACAAGCATCATGTTGCTGATCTTTGATTGAAGTAATCGATTGCGTTCTGGGTGAACACTAAATCAATTGCTTCTCAGGGTCTGAAAATGTACATACACTAGGACAGTTGGCTGATTGTTCTACAGTTCTTGATGCTATAACTCGTATATTTTTGTCTATATATAATTTGATAAAATGCTGTTGCTAGGCATTAAATCCATGAGAAATACATTATCAATTCATTTCCGTTATGAGATTCATACTTTCGTTTCTTCCCCTTTCGTGCTAGATTTGGAGCCTCTTCACATTGTTCGCCTGGGGCAGTCTTTCAGCTTCTGCTTTGAACTGTCCCATTGAGCAACCGATCTGAAGGTTTAAGGGTTCATAAAGCAGGAATCTCTAAAAAAAAAGATCAGCCAAGTCCATTTTCAAAAGCTGCCTCTAATTGTTCCTTCAAACTTAAAAATGATATCAATTTGGTCCTTTGACTAATAAAATCCAACTGGTATAAGTGTTGAACTTCTTGCATAATTGTCCACTAACAATAAATCGAAGGCTTACTAGCATTAATCCATGAATTGAAACATTTTATCAACGCCTACCAAGTTATTTTCCGTCAACCTATTTTGTCTCCAATCCCTTGTCTTGTCGAGAATTTTGATCAATTTCTAACTTTAACCAAAGGAAACCTCGACTCGCCTCATTTCTATGTCGTTTATGAAAATGGTCTTCTGCAAGTGTTGGAGCATTGTTCGGATGTTGATAAATGTTAGACTAAATGTAAATAGGGTATCATAAATCCTAAATCTTTTTTAAGATTAGTCCAGAGAATATCTTTGTATTTGATGCTTAAAAAGGCATGGAGTAAGAGTCGATGATTAGACATAGGTTGAAGCTATTGGAATTGCTGGGACCAAGAATAATCACTTGCGGCATTCTCAACAAAAGGACTTGGGGGGTTTAGGAAATGGGTCAGGTTTACTCAGCGGAATAAGGTAGATGTTTTTGCGAGTGTGTTGGAGTGCGAGGACTAATAAAAATCCATCAGTTTGTCTAAGTTTAGGGCCTAGGGAAATGGGTTGGGTTTCTGGCCGAAACATGCAAGATTTTCGGTGATTGTGTTGATTGCGAGCTAAAGGCAATAAATTTATGGTGTCAAAGGGACCAATAAGAAGTTTGTTGGTTGAAATGTGTGGTGATCAGGTAATTGTTGAATTGCCAGAATGGCAATGGGCCATGCATTCCATAATGTGACAAAATTACATGGAAGTGGTCTACTCTTTAGCAATCACATAGATATAATGCTATTCAATAAATAGTTGTTTAAAGATGTACTGTAATATAAATTAAAATATTTAAATAATTAAATTTATTTTTAACTATTTTACATAATAAATATTTAATAAATGGAAGCTGTACTTAGATATTCATTAATACCAAGATAACTCATTTTTTATTTTTCTAAACATTGAGAGGTAAAAATTCATGAAAATATAGAATTTATAAATCTCAAAAATTGTGATTGTCGAATCAACCTATAAAAATATATTGCAGGAGAGTAAATAATGAAGAAATCAATAATATTCTAATGAAAATCTCTTATTATAATCTATTTTTGAATAATCTCTTATTATAATCTATTTTTGAATATTTTTTACAAAAATACTAACAGATAAATAAGTTAATATATATATATATATATATCTTCCCTCGCGCAACAGGGGTGGTGGATTATTACTAGTTTCCTCTGGTTTGCGTCCAGTTTGTCTGTTTGTTTACAATAAAAAGGATGTCACTTTCACGTGATGCAGGCCATTTCTAAACTTATAAAGCCAAACTCTGCCATCTCTCTATTGCGTCTCTCCAATTCCCTAAGCAAGGGCGGCTCTTTAAACTTAAAGAGAGGAAGGCATTATGGTAGACACGCAGGACAAGAAGATAATGGAAGAGAGTTTAATACCCAAATTAGAGAAGGAGAAGAGTAACCCCTGCTTATCATGGGCTGCTTTCGCCGGAGAAATAAAAAGGGTGGGCTACCTTGCGGGGCCTATGGTAGCGGTGACCATATCGCAGTACCTCTTGCAAGTTATATCAACGATGATGGTGGGTCATCTCGGTGAACTTGCTCTCTCTAGCTCTGCCATTGACATCTCTCTCGCCGGGGTCACCGGCTTCAGTCTTCTTGTAAGTCAATTTACATTTTGCTTCTACTTAATAAACTTGTCATTTTGATAGTGATTTTTAGAATTATAATGTCCTTGAATTCCACGTCTCTTTGTTTTTATGTTTCTAGTGTTTTACTAGGCAATTAGGTTTCCTCATTTAAGATGATTGTATCCAGTTAGAAGTACGATTCTGACTCAACCTAACCATACCCATATAGAGTTAATGAGTTCGGTCATGTGGAAATTCATGTCTACTTTTCATATTGTCTCTTTGTGGTTGGATCTATTGACTTCTAACCACATATTTTATATTTTATAAGTATTTTTTTAATGTTTTTGGATCTTTGGGGCTTATGTTGACTTTAAAATTCTTTGCTGTTCAGTTAATCCCTTGGGCAGCACGTATGTGTGTTGACAGAAATTCCTTTATGCTTATTCACTTGTAGTTATTCAGTCACTACAGTTTAACAAATTAAAGAAAAATTTAATGGATGGATGTCCCTTGTTCCCATATGTAATGGGGTAAGGGGAGGTAAGATAATAGGCTGCCTTCAACATTAGGTTGAGAGCAGCTTCCGTAAGAGACCTCCAAATTATGAAATACCCTCTATGGGACTCGATCCCACGACCTCAAGGTTAAGAACCTTGTGCTATACCAACTGAGCTGGATGGTTATTTCTTAACAAATTAAAGAAAGAAATATGATAATTGAATGATTGGTTTGCTGCTGAGTCTAGACCAGCTGACGAACTGAATTTGGATTTCTGGAATTGTCAGTTGTCACCACCACTATTACTATCTGAACTTACAGAATATCAACCAACTAAATTTTGTAATTTGTATGTGATTATCAGCTGGGTATGGCTTGTGCATTGGAAACTCTGTGTGGACAAGCTTATGGAGCTCAACAGTACCCAAAAGTAGGAATCCATACCTACACTGCTATATTTTGTTTGATCTTAGTTTGCATCCCTCTGTCCCTCCTATGGCTGTACATGGGAAGGCTACTTGTGTTCATTGGTCAAGATCCCTTAATTTCACTTGAAGCCGGTAAATTCATTGGGTGGCTTATCCCGGCGCTATTTGCGTATGCTACTTTTCAACCCCTTGTTCGCTACTTTCAAACACAAAGTTTGATCACTCCCATGCTCATATGCTCTTGTGCCAGTCTTTTAGTACATATACCTCTATGTTGGGCTCTGGTGTTCAAGTCTGGATTAGAAAATATAGGAGGAGCATTAGCAATTAGTATCTCAAACTGGTTAAATGTGATTTTCCTTGCACTTTATATGTGGTACTCTCCCGTCTGTGCAAAAACTCGTGTCCCCGTTACAATGGAATTATTCCAAGGAATTAGAGAGTTTTTCCGTTTCGCTATCCCTTCTGCTGTTATGATTTGGTACGTTATCTCCTCTTTTCCTCACCTGAATATATATGCCTAAGATGTTGAAGATCCGTAATGTCTTCTTTATTCAAACAATTGCAGCCTTGAGTGGTGGTCATTTGAGCTACTTATCCTGCTATCTGGGCTTTTACCACATCCAGAGCTGGAAACATCCGTCCTATCTGTGTGGTATGTTCATTTGCTATTGTTTTCGATCGATGCATCTGGTATCCTCCAATGCTTGATGGGTATTATAATTATATGATTTTTCTATTGCATCATATTGTAATTATTCTACTAATAAGCTTTTCAACTTTCCCAAACAGTCTCAACACCCTTGCAACACTTTATGCCATACCATATGGATTCGGTGCTGCAGCAAGGTATGCCCTGATATGCATGCACATACTTATTTTGACTTTATGCCATACCATATGGATTCGGTGCTGCAGCAAGGTATGCCCTGATATGCATGCACATACTTATTTTGTATTTCTTTACTGATTAAAATTTCAACTTTTTCAAGCCAAGTTTTTTAAACTTAGAATCATTTTTGGTTTGTATATATAGTACTAGAGTTTCCAATGAACTAGGGGCAGGGAAACCCCAAGCAGCGCGTTTAGCGGTGTATGCTACTATGGCTCTTACAGTTCTAGAGACCCTTATAGTTTCTGGAACCCTGATTGCAAGCCGACGTGTTTTCGGTTATGTTTATAGCAACGAGAAGGAAGTGGTGGATTATGTGACAACCATGGCTCCCTTTGTTTGTGTGTCTGTTATTCTGGACAGCTTACAGGGGGTTCTTTCAGGTTAAACTCGTTATCTTTTCGGTGAACAATGATTTTCAAGGAGATGAGTGTTATAGTGGTAGTATTACAAATGGTTGCATACTTGGATCAGGTATTGCAAGGGGATGTGGTTGGCAGCATATAGGTGCTTATGTCAACCTTGGAGCATTTTATCTAGTCGGCATCCCTGTCGCTGCCACCCTCGGCTTCTGGTTACAGTTGAAAGGGATTGGCCTGTGGCTCGGTATACAGTCCGGCGCTTTCACCCAAACAATTCTGTTCGCCATTGTTACAAGTTGCATAAACTGGGAAAAACAGGTTTGTCATCCATTCTCAAAATCTTTTATAACACCACAAATTAGCTTGATTAGTTATGTTCATGGCAAAGGTTAGTCGTCTTCAACTCATATATTTTATTTCCTGGTTTGGGCCCAAACTGCAGGCAAGTAAAGCAAGGGAAAGGCTATTCCAAGGAAGCTCATCAATAATAGAGAACGGAACCATGTAAGACTGCGGAATTTTATTACTATATGTACTATTGCTGCAGTAATAGAAACTACTGATTGAATAAAATTGTTTTTTTTTTTATCTTCCTCGTGCTCCCCTCAAGTAAAAATGATTTTTTTGGATAATTATGCGTGTATTATATTTAAAGAAAAAGTAACAAGTTGTTACAAGAAATATGAGTATAATACAAAAATTGATACTCGATACTTGATCAAGCTTAATTATACCTAATAAATATTATAATTTACGTAATACTCGAGTATCATACAAGAAACATAGTATCAAGCTTAATTTTCAAGTAA